ATCCTGAAAGCGTCGTTATTCCTGCTCGAGGTTGCGTTGTCTATGTTGATGTTCAGGCAGAGGAATCATCTTCAACAATCTTTACACCGGCGATTATAACCATTCTTGCAGCATTAGTGCTGCAGCTGGTCTACCATTAACCGCATGGTAAATTGAACGTATGTACTAATTATTCCCGATTGGAATTTCGACTGTCAATACTTTATCAATGAATCGTCAGTTGTTAATGATTTATGTGCATTCGCACGCTATTATGTCATCACGATAACTATTTAATTTTGAAAATCTTTCACAATTTTTTAACTTTGTCACACGTACAATTTAATGTATAATAACAATGGTTATGAATTGAAAAAGTTTTCAATTTTTCAAAAAAAAAATTAATAGGATTAATATTTTTTTTATATTACAGACAAACTGTAAACAGCGGAGAAGCCTTAGTGATTATGCCATATACTTTCATCGTTCTCTATGGAATAGAAGAAATGGAAACTGGAGCTAGAAGTCAAATTTTGTAAATACGTTTACCATTTGTTAAATAAGTTATTTCTATGTCCTTATCTTAAGTGTTTATAGCTAGCAGAATACCAATGATGTAACGGGTGTACTAATTTGATATAGATTAAAATAAAATTTTTACATACAAAAAATTCTAATCAGTATTGTACGTTAGAGGGAATGATACATTTTTGTTAATGAAAAAAAAAGGAAAAAAGTATGTAATGATATAAAAAATAGAATTACATTATAAAAAAGGTAAAACTTTTTTTTCTATATTCAATATTCTTAACCTAATTCCACAATCCCATTCACCGTTCAATTTTACAAAAATCCAAAAAATTATAAATACATTCCATTGTACCAATCGATCGAATGATCAATTTCGATAAAATCAATTCTAAGTAACAAATACCATATCCATGACTTTTCACGTATCTTTAAAGAAAGTGGGTAAACAATCCAAGGAAGATGGAAATCTAATCAATCTTTCAATTTTTATTTCACACGTGTATTTTCCAATCAATAACACGTTATCGATCCGATTTTTCATCTATGGATGCTTCACTTATATAAAACGGATTATTGGATCTGCAGGTGCAATTGCAGTGCAGTGATAGCAACGATGCAGGTCGTGACGTATCTGACCGTTTTAGTATTCGGGATCAGCCTGGGGGTCGGCGAGATCAAGAACAAAGGATGGTGGAAGAACATGGTTTTTTATCAAATTTATCCAAGGAGCTTTATGGACGCGAACAATGACGGTCTGGGGGACTTGGAAGGTATGGGCGAGGTATACTGATAAGAATAAAGTGACGGGTCGAGATAGCAGATACGAGGTAAAAGGGTTGATCGAGTTTGAAAATGGGAAGAAAAATATTAGGGTACCATGAAAGGTTGTTGAAAAATATGAAAAAAACATGATTAAGAGATTTAATGAAATTTTGAACAAACTGTAATTGGATGATGCTTTCGAGTTAGACACCCGGTATACCTGAACAAAATTTACATACAATAACACGTTGACTAGTTAACGTTGTTAAATTTTAATAATATACATTTTTATTATCTTCATTACATGTCTTTTTTGAAATTCCTAATTTTTTTTTAATTGCATTTTTGCCATTTTAGGTATAACCAGTAAATTGGAACACTTTGTGGATGCTGGGATCGGTGGAATTTGGCTTTCGCCGATCTACGCGAGTCCAATGGTCGATGCCGGTTACGATATTTCGGATTTTAAGGAAATTTACGATAAATTTGGTACAATGGAGGACTTTGTGGAATTGACCAGACGTGCTAAGGAATTGGGTTTGAAAGTGAGTTTATTATCATTTAATTAGTCGAATATTAAAAAAAAAAAATTTGATTTTAAGTCGGACAAGTGTTACTATGGATAATTATGTCTATAGGTACTTCTTGATCTCGTGCCGAATCATACGTCAGATAAGCACGTGTGGTTTCAAAAGAGTTTGACAAATGATAAACAATATCGAGATTACTATATTTGGCGCGATGGTAAAAAAGTTGATGGTGAAATCGAAAAACCACCAAATAATTGGTTAAGTGTATTTGGTGGACCTGGATGGACTTATCACAATGATAGTGAACAATGGTACTTTCATCAATTTGCTCCAGAACAACCCGATTTGAATTATACTAATCCCAACGTGGTGAAGGAAATGAGAGTAAGTGATAGCGCAATTAAAATACGTGAATTAAAAAAAAAAATGATTCAAATGATGAATTCGGCAGATAATAAATTTACAGATTTCGATTGAAAGGCCTAACGATGGATCCGTTATCCGTTATCCGTAATACCTGTTATCATTCTGATAATTGTAAAAATAAAAAAATTCCGTCTATATGACCGAGCTGAATCTGTTATCACTTGAATTGATAATGATAGAAATTTAATTTCTATTAATTTCATCAATATATCCTCTTATCAGGATGTCGTTGAATTCTGGTTGGACAAAGGTGTTGATGGTTTCCGTGTGGATGCTGTGCCTCATATTTTTGAAAGTAATCATTTCGAGGATGAACCTTTATCCAATATACCTGGTGTAACCGAAAATGAGTATGACTATCTGGAGCATATATATACTAAAGACGACATACGTACCTATCATCTGATTCAATCTTTCCGTAATTTTTTGGACGAGTATGCAAACTCAACGGATACCGATGAAAAGGTAAAAAAAATTTTTCACCAAATTTCAGTTTAATGGGAATCATTTTTCAAAAATAATTTTATCACTTACAGATTATGATGACGGAGGCATACACCAGCTTGAACAATACTATAAGTTTCTACGATTACGGTTCCCACGTACCGTTCAACTTCAAATTTATCAGGGATGTCGATCGCAATTCCGGTCCAGATCGATTCAAGCTCACCATTGACACGTGGCTGAATTCATTATCCGAAGATAACATAGCCAACTGGGTGGTGAGTTATAAATTTGAAAAATTTTCAAATTTTTCAAATTTTTCAAACTTTACTTTTTCTTTAACAGATGGGTAATCATGACAATAGTCGCACCGCTACTCGCTACCCTGGTAGAGCAGATCAGATGACGATGCTGGCAATGATCCTGCCAGGAGTGGCCGTGACGTATAACGGCGAAGAGATAGGCATGCTGGACAATTTTAACATATCCTTTGCTCAATCCGATGATCCGCAAGGTTGCAATCTCGGTGAAGATCATTATCTCGAGAAATCACGTGATCCCGCCAGAACCCCTTTCCAATGGGACGATACCGTGAATGGGGGTAAGTGAAAAAAAAAAATTTCCAGCTCAAAAATTAATTAATACAGTTACACCGTATACGCAGGATTTAATACCGGAAATGAAACATGGCTTCCGGTCCACGAGAATTACGTGTCCCTGAATCTGGCCAATCAAAAGACTTCGACTGTCTCCCACTATAAAATCTATCAAGCTCTGACGTCACTGAAGAAAAATTCTCCCGTACTCGAGCAAGGCAGCACAAAGACTATTGTTCTTAACAACAACAAAGTCCTGGCAGTGATTCGAGATCATCGAGAGGAACAAGTGATGCTGTTGATCAATTTCGACGACAGCGTTGAGCAGATCGTTGATTTAAGCGAACAAATTGCGAACAACAATACCTTACTGTCAGTCGCCGTAGCAAGCTCAGATTCTGCCGTAGAAGCAGGGTAAGTCGTTGATACACAAAAACTTGTATCCAAATTATACAAGAACAAGAATATTCCCGCGAACTTCTTTCACTGTATAAACAGCATCCGTATTGTTCACTCTTCGCTAAAAAACATTGTTGTTAATAATTTTACAGAATCACACTGGATCCAACTGCCGTGGGACTTCCCGCAAAGGCTTCCTTGGTACTAGTATCAAAATTAAATTCAACGCCCGAACAAGATAATACAACTAGTACAACGGAAGAACCCTCTGGACCCACCGAGGGTTCATCAACATCATCAGCCATCACAATAATTCCTTTGAACCTTCTGATCTTCGCATCGATCCTCGAATGTACACGTCAGCCCAGATAAATATTAATATTCACGCGTCGCTTTTGAGCCGCTATGAAATTAAAAGCCAAAAAAGCTACCAATCATCTGATAAGATTCTGATCTTGAGCTACCCAGCAAAGCGTGAAGTCACGCATGATGAACGTGGAATTGGAATTATTCAAACGTACCTGGGGAGGGTAGAAGCCTGAGTGTGTAATTATTCAAATATGTTTGAATAATTCCAATTCCGCCCCTGGCATCGGCAACTGTTTAACTTGCGATGCTCGTATCTCACGACAAGTTTTACTTCAAGGAGCTTGACACTACTTATTCGAAAATTCCACGACAAGAGCTACAAGAATATGCAATGAAGATTAGGGGAGTCTGATTAAAAAAAAAAAAAAAAAAAAAACTAAAGTGATCTTATCGTGATCTCAGCATCGCCATCCGAGATGACACCAATTGCATAATCTTACTTCCTACCCAAAATCAAACGACTTATGTTAAAAAAAAATTTGTCGACAACGCATTGTTGCAGAGATATTCAGCTGGGACGTTCTCAAAACGAACACACGGTATAACTATCAGATTGCGTTTGCGGGTTGATTCGCTTATAATTAATATAATTTAACGTGAGGATACAAATACAGTCATTAACCTGTACGCAGGAAATATTATAGTGTAAAAGTATTTATAAATAAAGAAAACCTTTTTCGTGAACCGAGAAAGTTGTAAGAAAAAAATTTCAGTGTTTCAGCCCTTTGCTAAATTTTTGAGATCTATCATTCATAACATACAGAAATTGATTTCAAGTTTGTAACGATGACGTACCTTTAGAAAATTGAAAAAAAAAAAAAAAATTTTTTTTCACATATGTCATCAGAGATTATCTCCTAATGGCTATACAACGACTCGTCTGATTTAACTGATTAAAATATTTCAAGTAATCGTAATTGTTTATTCATCGATCGACAAAAAATTCTACTTATCCCAAGAATGTCACTGGATGCTCGATATGCATTTTCTTATATAGCGACACATCCAGCCGTGTAGGCACTTCGATTAACGCTCTGAACTTACCTGCAACAAATAATGATAAAAACATTGATTAATGTGCGATAGGCTGTAATTAAGAGTCCTATCGCCTGCAATTACAGGGAACTATATATCTTATGCTGTCGGGTAGGTATCTATGGCTGAACGGCGTAACTTTAAGCTCCGCATGCGGAAGGGTAGGTAGTCTATGTTTAGCCAGAGGTTTTCTTGGATCTAATTTTTTTTTATTTTTTTTAGTTGTGTGTGTATATATTTTTTGTACTTATATATATATATACATATATATGTATTATATAAAACACTAGTTTTTTTAAAGAGCAATTAAAATTGCACTATTACATCTTCCCTTGAAAGACATAAATGACGATAACGTATATAAAAAAAATCTGTTATCGTTCGATAGATAAGACAGTATAATAAAAGCAAAGTTATTCAAAAAAAAAAAATTATTGATGGCAGGAAACTGCTATCAGGAAAGAGGAATCAAAGTTTAATACCATCTGATAAAGGTATTAACCACGATGTATAACCTTCAGAAGAATCCATACCGATAATACTCCACGAAAAAAAGGAGCATCGTAAACGAAAAGAAATTAAAAAAAAAAATTTGTACGTAAAATTCTATATGGAACGACAAGAAGCTTGAAATTTTTTACCATCTGCTTAACCACGATAGGTATAACGGTTAGGGTAAAGCTTCATTCACACCTAAACGAGGATACGTAACACACGTTAGACACGTCAAGTCTTATCCACGCTGGCGTAAAGTCGCAGACGATGATCGTTATCCGATTCTCAAGGATTCAAGAAAGGACCTCTGAAATCCAATTTCAGGATGAAAAATAAATCGATCATAAAACCCCAAGGAGCGATATAAATTTGCGAAAAATTTACGTCTGAGCCAATATCGACTTTTACTACTGAAAATCAACCCTTAGCGAGAAGCTGAATTTTATGTCTCTAGGATATATAGATATAGAGTATACTTTTGAATCAGGTTGTACCTCGAGTTCTTCCACCTTCGAATTTTCATTTACATTTAGCCGCTCCTGATATTACGGGAAAAATACAAAATTTCGTAATTCGGTTAATGGGGAACAAATTAGGACGAAATGAAGTATTGGGTCGAATAACATTTTTTTAACCTTTCTACCAAAATACGACTGAAATGTATCTCCTTGAGAAAACGCGAATTATTTACGTTCGCAGAAGGAAAATACTTAATTAAGCCGCTTACTGCGAAGGACGTCTGGCTATTATTATTATGTAACCCCAAAAAGTCCAGGAATTTCCAAACTTGTCAAAAAAAAATCAACTTTACCTGTTTCACCAAAAAACAGCTTAAACCCTCAACAACATGACAATCGAATAATTCATAAATTTTCGTAATTCATCAGTGCTATCATTATGAATAAAAATTTTAGTTATGTCAATTATTTCGTTCGCTATTAAATGTTACACGAATTTCACTGTTACGATAATAATAATGGTAGCAGTAGTAATAATAATAATGGGCTAACGTAATACATAGCACGTGTATATAGTGACTGATACGTATAGAAATAATTGATGCAATGTCTAGACAACCAATCATTCGATTGGATTGACCCGTCGCGTGACCGGCTGGAATGCTCTGACACGTAAATCAGTAAACGTACATTCGTTTTGACGCGAATGAACGTTTTGGCTCTAGGCTGCCGATCCCTACAGATAGATGAAGTCAAAAAACCTCATGAAAAAATTTATCGATTCTCGATTTGATTCCTGAGGCTCAGTAGAGGTCGTAGGAATCAACCGTAAATATGCATGAAAAAAAAAAAAAAAAAAAAAAATAAAAGGTAGATGAT